GCCCTTTTCTGGGGGAGGGCGCCCCTACTAAAATAGACTACAGAAAAAGTTGGTACCCTTATTCTAACCTCTCTACTGGAGGACCTAGCTGTGGATGGTTTCAAGATCCTCTTAGGCACCACCGTTCAGAAAGCTGGAATGACTCGATTCCCTTTGTAAGTACCAAGAGCCAGTGGTTTCAACCATGGTTTCAACATGGTGCAGGCTTTCGTCCATTCATAGCATAGGTACTGATATACATTATTCAGTGACATTGGTTTTACATAGCAAAGCTATGTTTGTACGTGCCTATATATATATATATATGTATGTATATATTATATACATGCCGCTTTTGGTGGTTTTGAATATATTACCTTTTTGGCTAATTCACTCGGACTGAGTTTCCTGCACCTGCCTTGGCGTTTCCTCCTAGCTGTTCCCGGCAGCCAAGTGGCTAGGGCGTATATGTAAATAGAGGGTCCATGGAGAACAAGATTTCTCTGACGCTAGGACCCCTTAGCATCAACATGACGTACCCTGGGCATGCTTTACATTCTCTTCAGCGGGTACTGTGGATTTGTCAAGCACCAGATAGGTCTCCATGAAAATTGGGGAGACCAGAAGCTCGGCTCGTCGAAAGTTATCTGAGTTTAGCTATACTCGTGTTCCATAGTGTAGTTGTTCTTCCTCAAACAGGCTTCAGTGCGCGGGTGATCTGGTAGCATACCTGACCGATGGGCACTAGGACGTATCCCGATGCACGGCCCAGGCCGCATGTTGAGTTTGGTTGAGTTTCTTCGGTTCTGCGGTCTGCCTCACTTTGCCTGGTCGATTCACAGATCCTTCGGCCGTTGCGTCTGATTGTGCCACTTGGACCTCGACCTTCAAAGTCCTCCAAAAGCAATTAAAGACCAGTCCGCTGGATCCATGGCTAGAGCACAACACTCACTTTCTCCAGTAGACAGCGGAATTGTCGACTGAACACTGCTGGAGCAGGGCGTGCCATACATCCACCATGCCTGTGGTTGATCTTCTCGAGTTGGCATCTCTAGCATGGTCGGAGTTAACCTGGATTCTGAGCTTGCTCGGATTGGCTTGTCTCGCAGCGGCTCGCGATCTTGTTGGCGAAACCATCTTCCGAAACAAGTTGTTCGCCGCTTGACTGATTTCCAAATGATCTTGAGATAGATACGCAGCCACTTATCACAAACGCGACCACTGCGCGACCTCTGCATATGCACCTCCACTGACTTCTTCACGTCAGGGGAAGTCACCGATGTGCTCAGTCTTCCACCCGCCAAGGAGCCGTTGAGGGCCATCATGATGTCTTTTGGTAGTTGTCCGGGTTCTTCAGAATAAAGTAATGCAATGCAATGGTTTTTCGTCCAGCTTATGAGTTTTGGAGGGAGGGTAGTGCCTCCTAGCTGACCAACTTCTTGCAAAAAATACTATGTTCCGATGGCGACTGTCAACATAGCTAAGTCTGCTGTTTTTCTGAACATGTGTTGGGATTTGCTCCGGCCGGACCTTGAACATGTTGTTGGGAGGACAGACCAGGGAGGCCGCCCCGATACCCTGAGCGATTGACCAGACCTAAAGATCTAACACCACAGTGGGCGGAGGAATCCAAGCATTTGGCCAGAGGATTCGACCCAATTTTCATGAGGAGGGCATCTAGGCTGCCTTCCCTTTACCAATTCAGCCACAGTGACATCCAGCGGGAGTAAGCTTGCATTTCGTTCAGCCACAGTTTATGCTACATGGGCGTGTCTTTTGTTGAGGGTAGCCCTCTCATTGTGTGGTTTACCCGGCAAACCAAGAGGCCAACCCCCCACTTTTGGGGGGGAACCCCGAAACCAAGCCACCCACACAAAGGGAACCATAGCCATGTTCACCCGGGCCGAGGCTTGAAGCGGCACTACAGCACGCCCGACGCCCAGCAAGTCCGTTCGTTCTTCAGGCGTTTTGGTTCTTAATCGGCGGAACCGGCCAAAAGGCACGTGCCGAGAAGGCCCACGTTGACATATATGTATCCTTTGCTCATTTGGCAGGTGGGGGTGATATGCCATGCTTCAAGATGTCAACGTGGGCTTGCCTCGTTGCTTGAAAACAATTGGGTGGCTTTTGGTTGCAATTGTCGCAACCGACTCAGTTGACACAGGATGGGTGTTTCTACGGGCGCCCATCATCCACTGAAAGCACCTTGAAGGCAAGAGCCGAAGGTGCAAGGTTTCCAGTGAAGGATTTTGAGATATGGATTCAGATATTAAGATCCCCCTTATAGTTGCATGTCACCTCCCACATTGGAACCAAGGCTCAAAGCAAGTCAACCGGGTCTGACCTTCGAATTTCCTCTTTTTGGCAACCATTTTTGGCAATGGCCCCAAAAGAAAGGTTCATATTCTATTTCCGGATGCTTTGGGCGCTCGGGGTTTGCTCGTGGCCGTGCCCAGTTGCGGTTGCGTGTTAAATCGACTCATTCACCACAGGAGTTCGCACCCAAAAAGGGTATATGTTTGTTTTTGAGGGTATCCTTCTTGGGCTGTTGCCCAAGGGAAACGACAGTTGACAGGGAGCTCACAGGGACACCATCCATTTTCGAGTCCTAGATGTCGGCCTTTGCACTTGGCAGTGCTCAGGCTTGCGTACTCCGACCTGTCGGACGCCGCACCGGGCCGGTTTGATATGACAGCAAGCCGACCCCCTCCGAGAGCCGCGCTGTCCAAAGCCAAAGAAGTCTGGCGATGAACCTTAAGATTTGTCTGCGTTTCGTGGCTTGCAACCTATGAAGCTTGAAACTGGCCATGCAGAACCTACGGCGATCCCATTTCGGAGTGCGACGCCCATTTGCCATTATTTTTGTTGACGTTCACCAGGGGTTTCCTGGGTTTTGACCCACAGCCAGCTTTTAACGCCCTAGGATTTGAAGTAGGTAATGTGTGCAATGAGTTTGACGCTCTTGGATTTTGCTTTGGGGTGGGACACGGGAAATGGCAGGTGTTCCCTTCGGTTTTTTTTGGGGGGGGGGGCTGAAAAGGCACATACCCATTTTGTATGCCCTGCCCTCGTTCCTTTTCTGAGGTATGGCAAAAAAGGTGTTTCTTGTTTTTCCTCCGCCATTGCCAGTTGCAATCCGCTTGGAACTTCTTGTTTTTTTTGGGGATGACCCCCATGTAACCCGGTTTTGTGGTCTTCATTGGTTGCTTGGGTGGTTTCAGCGTCTATCGATTTGACTAGCTCAGGTTGGTGCTTTGCGGGTGTTACTTGACTACGTTTGGAGTGTCTTTCAGGGTACCTTTTTTTTTGGGCTGAAGGGAAACCACAAAAGAAACCGAGGCCATGTCTTTTTTCAGAGTCCCCCAATGTTGAGACAAACCCAAGCCATGTCCCACGAGAGAGGGTTCTTGCGGCCAGGCATCGCAGGCGATAAGCCGAAAGCCGAACGCCAGGTGTCCATCAGTCACATTTTCGCGGTGATGACGAAGTACTTCTTCTCCGTCCGGGAACTCGGATCGGGGTTCTCAGGGATCCAAAGGATAGGTCGAAAATCACCAAAGAAGCTGATGTACAATGGATGTTTTGTTTTGGGCAGGTAGACTGTCACCGAAATGTCCGCTGATGTAGACGATCCCCTTGCATACCGGGGTGGTTGCTGGATGTATGTTGCAAGGAATCCAATTTGCCTGGAGGTAAGCGACGCATCACCTTGTGCGTGTGTGTTGTTGAGGGGAAGCCTTTCAAGGGGGGTTCAAAGGCAAAGATGTCGTGGGCCCCCTTTTGACACACCGCCTTTCAAAGAGGTGCATGTTCAGAGTGGAGTGGTCTTTGCAGGGAACCCGGATGAATTAGTGGTCGTCTTCAAGGCAGAATCCTTGGGAAAATCCTATTCTGGTTTTTGCCATATCAAGCATTAATCCTATGCCAGATGGCAATGATTTCCGTTGTGGTGGAATTCCACGACAGATTCCGGATTAGGATTGGGGATCAGTGTTTCTCTCGGCACCTTGTAGGCATGGCGGCCCTTTCTAGGTCAGTCAGGTTCCACTTCCTAAAATGGGTGGTGAATTCACCTACTCCAAAATCTTGGTTTCTTTCTGCTCCCCAGCCCAAAAAAATAACTTTTAGTGGTTGAATGGAAAACCCATTCGTTGGCAAGAAGTTAAAGTCCTAACATCCCTTGGCAACATGCAACAAAGAAATGGGATCCCAAAACGGCTTTCACAACCGCCATGTACCCAGTGGAGGCCAGCTTTTGTGGTAGACCTGTGAGGTCTTCGATGACTCTGTGCAGCAGATCCTGCCGAAGATGATTGGGTGCACCATCAACGTCTTCAAGCAGGTGCCTGCATTGAGCTTCTCCCCCCCCCCCCCGGTGCACGGATTCCATAGCTCTAGGGGTTGATTCCTTGTCCATTCTTTTCAACCATCGTTCTTTTCGAACACCGGCTGTTTTCCCTGGTCTTTTGATGGTTTCCTGAAAAGAAAGATCCCTGGAAAGAATGGGGAAGATACCCCTAGAATAGAGGTTTTTACTTTTGTTCGTCCAACAAGGGTGTACTACCCCAACCATAGCTTGCCAAAGAGCGCTTCACCTTTCCCGTTCAGAGGACTATTTCATGGGCTTTCCTGAATCATATGTAGCCTCTTCAAGCCGACTGGGAGCATGCCGAAAAGCAGGAGACATGATAGTTCCTTCGATTGATCTCATTCCACGAGTTGCAACATTCGCCCATCTTGAGATACTAGATGTTTGATTGACGCCACCAGGGTTCAAACTTGTGCAACAGCTGGAAATTGCGCACAAATGAAATGAATCAAGGTCAGCGCCCAGAAAGGTTGTGTCATGTGCGTTCCTTTTTTTTGGGGATGCCCGTTTTTGGATGACCTTACATTGAAGGCAAAGGGACGCATATCACCCAGCTGCGGGGGAGGCTGGCCCGGCAACTTGTTGGATAACTTTCGGAGCGCTACGATGCCCCTCTTGTGTTGGGGGCTGGGAAGCAGGCGCGCTGTGTCGCAGGGTGCCCGGCTCAAGTCTGAAAAGGACTCCGTTTCGACCGGGGAGTGGCAATGGCCGGGATGAATCTCACCGGGTTTCCCGGCATGTTCGACTTCGTGGATGCCGAGCCCAAGCGGGTGGAGAACGCCAGCTCGAAGCCTTGCCTGGATTCCTACAAGCAGATGGCGCGGGAGGCGGGTTATTGACGGCTGTGGTCCATGAAACTTATGGGGTCAGTTCAGTTTAAAGGGAAGCAGCTGGGAACACCAGGGGTTGCCCCTAATTCGACACATACCCTTATACACATTGCGCCAGGGGGTTGGCAAGGCATCAGGATCCTGAATAGAAGTGACTCGCCGAAGGCCGAAACTGCCGGGGACGAAATGTGCCCACTGGGCTGAGTGTGTTTGAGGGACCCCGTCTAGAAAGCCAACCGGCCGAGACTCGCTCGTCTAGCGAGGGAAAAGGGCATTCTCAACAAGAATGCAGGATAAGTTGGCGCTTCCCAGGTTGGGTGTTTGTTAGCCCTCCCTGAGTTGATGTGGGGCGGGATGGGTCCTGGCAGGTAGCTCTTGCTTGCCAACAAGAGCTTGATGTTGCAAGGCTGTCAAAGCCTCGTGTTAGGCTTCAAACGTGTCCTGCGCACGGCGTAACACCTGCATGAAAAATTCCTTGCACACGGTGACCCACCATGTTCTGCTCACAGCAATCTTCGCGGCTCGGCTTCGGTGTTCCGCATGAACGCCTCCCGCGGTCCGGTGGTGGCAGACCCGAAACCCGTCAGGCCATGCTGAGAGACGGGGTGCACTCGGGCTTTCTGGAGGATGCCCACTGGGCGGCCGCCTCAGGTGATCGAGTTTCCCAGAGGCAAGCCTGCCTGCCCCGTGTTTTCTAGGCCAAGCACATCGACACAGACCATGGCCTTTCAAAGCCCCCGACGTTTTGAAGGAAGATATCCTTCCTCCAACTAACATGGCACCTGTGAGGTACCTGGAAGATTCATTTCCTTTTGAAGGGAGCCCCTGTCAGAGGGTAGACCCAGGGCTCATTGCAGGCGACGCTTTTCCGTTTCCGTGCGCGTGGGGCCCGAAGCTTAGGTGCAACTCTGGCGGAAGCACTTTGAGGGTAGCGCCCTCCTGGACCCCGCCGCCCCTCGGCTGGCATCGCAGGTCGAGCTTGGGAAGGCCGCTTAATTAGTTTGCTTGAAACGTGGCAGCTTACGGGCAAAACACGCATGAAAACCGAGGAGTGGAGCAAAAAAAGCAAGAAGTGCCAAGCTTGGAATTCAACACATAAAGAGGATGTTGTACAAACTATGGCATGGCATAGCCCTTGCCATACTCCTCCAGCACACCAGGCTTTATTTGAAAGAGGGCTGAGCTAATTTCGCAGAGCTCTGAGTTGCAGAATCAGGAATTGGAGACCTGCGTGCTTGGTGTCGACCTTGGAATTCAATACATTGACGAGCCGAAGTTGCACCATCTCACAACGTACCCCCGTTCCCCCGCCCCTCTCCGACAGGGCCGGTCAATCCATTTATGCCAGGGCACTCCCAGCACAAAGAAAACAGCACAGAACGTGGTTCCTTTTGTGTTATGGAAAGGGATGAGCTGGAGAGATTTGGGATGCCTTGGAAAGGAGGGAGCAGAGACGCACCTTACCAGGGGAAAAAGGATGAAGTGGGAACCAACCCATAGGCAGTGGAGCAGTTCCCTATTGAAGGGCTCGGGTACTCATCGAGGAGCTAGAATGCTTTTGGAATGGGTAGCCACGTGCGTTTACAACAAAAACCAGGGCTGGGCCGCTGGTTATATAAGACACATTTAAACCACGGTGGTTTAAATCACCTGCCTTTTTGTTGCTTCGCTTCAACGACTCATTGAAACAACCCGGCGAAAGAAAGAAAACACACAACAACAAACAAGAACAATGAAAATCAAGAAGCACATGTTCAGGCGCACCGAGTTGTTGACGGTGCCAGTTGGTGCCGCAAGCCTTGGCCCAAGGTGCCGTTTCGGGAACCGATGCAAGAGACGCCGGGAGCTCAGCCGTGAGAGCCAAGGCGCTAACCTTTTTCTCACTTGCCCAAAGCGAAACCCTTTTTTGCGGTTCCCAGCCGTTTGGTTCCTTAGGTGTTTCGTTGGTTTAGTGGTTGGGTGTCAATTGAACCCGCGAAAAGTTACTTTTAGTCATAGCCCCAGAAGGTGATCACTTGGGATCATGGGAAGCAGAGAGAGAGGGAGAGAGGGAGCATGATCATTTGGTGAAGCGCAGGTGGCCACAGGCGTTGCACAACGGATTCAGGCCCATGGCGCGAAACACCAAGTTCTGCCACCAGGCATCCCTGAGAAAAAGTGCTGTTTTGCTCAGACCCAAAATGGCGACCCCGAGAAGTGCATCCTTGAACACCGGGTTTGCTTGAGGGCTTTCCCACCAAAACATGGTGACCCGAAGTGTTTTTCCCTAAAGGCTCTGAATTGGCTGATGCCGCCGCGCATGGCGCCTGCCCACCAGCCGGTGCCAAGGTTCAAGGGCAGCAACCTGCAACTTGGCTTGGCTGTAGCCTATTGCGGGGGTTGCGAGGATTCGAATGCCTAGGTTAGGTGGCATAGTTGGCCCACTTGATGGCGCTTTTCTGATTTGCGAGTTGGCAATGGATGTATTCACAGCCTTCCCCTCCTCATTCGGCAATTGATGTTGGCTTGGAGCAAGGGTTACCATTTGGCCCCACATACTGCGCGGACCAAGTGATTGGCAAGGACTTGTGGGTACCAAGCCAAGTGAATGATTTTCCTCCCAGTGTCACTTCTATGTTGCATTCTATGATTCTGGCTTCCATCACTCGTTTTGCCCCCCCCCCCCCCCGGATCCTCCATCGCTAAACAGCCCAGTTTGAGTTATGGGCTTTCCCGGTTCGGGTCTCCTTTGCTGGATCAAGAGTTGAGAGGCACTGGTCAGGTACAAGCGGCAATGGCTCCTTGTTTTTCCGAGTTACCCTCAAAACCCACCTGATTTGATTTGACCTTTTGTTCCAACGCTTGTAATAGCTCGATTTTTCCAAGAGTCTTCAAGAAATGTTAGGGGACCCCCGAACATGGTGGTGCTCCTTTTGGTTTCCCTGGAAAGCCACAAATGGGTACCAACTCAAAAAAGAGAGCAACCACCCATATGGGATAAATTTATCCCCTCCCAGCTGGTTCGGGAAGCCCAAAGCGTTTGCTGGCCGTCACACCGCATGCTGACCTGACCGTCGCATGCTTTCGCCTCAGGCGGGTGCTGCAGTGGAATTTGCTGGCGGAGGGGCTGGTGCCTGAAGGCTTCATGATGCCCTTGGTGTCCCAGGCCCACGTGGAGACCTCAGCAGCGCGGCACGCAAGGGGAGGGGGGGCTGGCTTTGGGGATGGGCTGCGTGGGGGGGGGGGCTTTGTCGCTTTTCGCCGCCCGGCTTCTTGATGTTTTTTTTTTGGCATGAACGTTCCCCCCAAAAAAAATAAAAATTGCGGAAACAAGAAAAAGAAAGCACACATGGAGTGTGAACATAGCAATACAGGCCCCACATTTGCTTCACTCCCAACACCGGGATACCACTCAACCGGGTCAATGGAGATCAAAAAGCCAGTAGAAACCGCACATTTGCTCTATGCTAATCAAATCCGGATGGTGCACAAGCACAACCTGGATAGACGGATCTTTTGGCACGGTCCCGGCTCGTACAGGCATTTGGCTTTGGATCGCCGATTTCTTTTGTGGAAGGACATGGGTGGGGGAAGCAGTGGGGGAAGTGAAGCCACACGGCGTGGTATTGTTGAACTAGGACATGGGGGAAGCAGTGGGGAAATGAAGATGTTGAAGCGGCCTGCGTTTGTCAGAGAAATGGAGGCCAAAGGAAACCAACCCCCCGGTGCATCCGGAAATCCACTTCAGTGGCTTTTCGAGCACCGGGCTTCATCCCCTGCTGCTGGTGTGGCATTCATGTCCCACAAGTGCACCAGGGTAAAACGCGGTGCCACAGTTACCTTTTCATGGGTAATTGTAAAGGGGATGACTAAACCCAAATGAGTGGCCGCTACTGCCTAGTTTCATATGGGGACAGAATTAATCATCAATGGCAATCAATTGGTGTTTCTTTGGGCGCTCAAATGTGGGGATTGCTGTTGTGCTGTTGGCATGGTTTCGATGCAACTTGTGTATACTTGTTCAATCAAGAGTTTGTGTGGGTGTGTATGTAGGTTTCTGGCTTGTTTCATGATCTGCTCGCCGGCCCAACTTAGCTTTCATCCATGGGCCAAATGCATTTAATAGCCGCACAAAGCATGCAGCTGCTTCGAGACGCAGACGAATCAGCGGGCAGGTTTGCAAAATGCTCACCATGTCCGGAGACATGGCCATCGGTCAAAACCCCGTATCCCCAATGAGCATCCCAATCCCCACTAAAATAGATTAAACTGGGCGGTACACCTATCCCAACATGGTGCCATTGGTTTTGAACCATGGCCACGTGTTGTAAGGCAACACAAGCTGTCACTTGCCCAAGCAGTGCCATTTGTGTGGGCATTTTTTTGCGAGTCCGTGGGTAAATCGAGCTCACCTTGATATGAAGGCTCCTTACTAGTGGATTCCTTTGCCAGTTTGGGACCAGCATTTTGCCCTGCGTCCTCATTTCAGGTGAAGGATTCAAAAGAACTGAGCATATTTGCCATGTCAGTAGATGATTTCTACTGCCTGCTTTAGTTGGGGTTATACATTCGCTTCGATCCACGTGTTACTTCTCACTGATTATGTAGCAAAGCCCATATAGACCTCTATTTCCATGTTAGTAGAACCACAAGTCAATGAAGCCAATGGGCTTTGGGCGCTGCTCAACTCGACTTGGCCGCGGAATCCAAGGAGAAGTTCCTGGAAAGTTTGCTCAAGACGGGCGGCCGAGAGGCCCCGGCCGGAAAGTAGCAGGGGTCCTCTGAATGAAAAGGGCCATGGCAAGGGGGGGAGATGAGTTGACCCATTCGGTCCGGAGTTTGCATAAAATTGGGTTGCCGATTCATTCAACGCGTGTTTCTATGGGGGGTGACTTAGGAGGACATGCTCCCCGAAAAATGAACATGCGACCCAAAAAGGAGGAATCTTGGTTTGGATTCCGCACGTTATGCGGGCGGGGGGGGTGGGGGCTAAGAGATGGATGCGACCGGCTTACCGCTGATCCTTGGAATGACTGATTGCTTTCCAGCTGCGGGAAGGGACATGAGAGCGTTTGTGCGATCTCTTGGTGCTGCCTGTGAGCATAGGTTTTGTTTTTCTGGGTTAGTTTGCTTACTCGTTACTTGTTTCTGTTGGGTTCTAATCATTTTCCAGTAGAACCCGCCTGTTTTTCCAGCTCTGTTGACGCAGGCTATGCTTCACCAGGTAAGGCAAAGGAGCAAACCAGAATTCATTTGCTGGCCAAATGAAGACAAAGAAAGCATTGACATCATGGGCAGGCCGTTGGTCCAGGAGTGACAATATGTGGGCATGCTATGCTGTGTTGCGTTGTTTGGCTTGCTTTGTTTGTTTCCTTGTGTTATTTGTCTTTGCTTGCTTGATTGCTTGATTGCTTGTTTGGTTGCTTGTGTTTTTTTGGTGTTGCTTGATTGTTTGCTTGGTTGTTTGTTTTGTTTTGGTGTTGTTTGTTTGTTTGCTTGGTTGGTTGCTTGTTCGTTGGTTTGTTTCTTTCTCAGTTTGTTTCGAGGACCTTCGCACCGCCGCCAAGCTGAGCTCCCAGGGCTATCGGAGCTTCGTGTGGAGCCGCGCCTCGGGTCGGATCGACGAAGCGGTCGCCGGGGATCGGCGGTGTTGGGAGCCGCGGCATCGGCGGCTGTCGAGGGGTAGGCTCTTGGGGGGATTGGGCTCTTGGGGGAAACGGGGGTGCACGCGCTGGTGGGAATACATCAGGGGGGATACAAAGGAGGAGAAGAAGGGGAGGAGGAGGAGAAGAAAAGACCTAGGTGTTGCGAAATACCGCCTGAGGGGGACTTGAGGTCGTGTGGCGGAGCTGGAGGCGGAGATGCAGCGACCTTCAACGAGATGTTGGGTCGAGGAGTGTTCCCCATGAGGACGGCCTGGATCGCAGGTATGCACAGGTGCACGAAGAAGCAACACAACAAGCACACTCACACAGACCGACCGACCGACCAAGCAAGAAAGCAAGCAAGCAGCTCTAAGCAAGCGAGCGAGCAAACAAGCACACACACAAACAACCGCACCAACAGACATCATGCATGCATGACAATGCACAAGCAAGCAAACCACCGCGCAACTAGCAAACTCATTGGTTTTACGCGGGTACTTTCTGAGTTCCTGGACTTAAGAAACTTGTTGGGTAGACCATTTGGGTGGTAAACAAGAAGTTTGGACTTTTTCTGACCAATCAAGAAGTGAGTAGATGAACGTTATAGTGCGTATCAATCAGTTAGCACACGGCATTCCAACGTTGAGTGCTAAGTGTTTGGGCGCTTGCGCAGCGTTTTTTTCCCAAGCCGTGGTTGAGGCCCAACAGTTAGCACTCCAACTAGTCTGGCAGTCGGATTGTTCAAGGTCTTTGAAATAAGGCTTGGCATCAAAATAGCTTTACATGGGCATTGGAAGGAAGGACGGAAGGAAGCACGGAAGCGAAGGAAGCGAAGGAAGCAAAGGAAGCAAAGGAAAGGAAGGAAGGAAGGAAGGAAGGAAGGAAGGAAGGAAGCAAGGAAGCAAGGAAGCAAGGAAGCAAGGAAGCAAGGAAGCAAGGAAGCAAGGAAGCAAGGAAGCAAGGAAGCAAGGAAGCAAGGAAAGCAAGGAAGCAAGGAAGCAAGGAAGCAAGGAAGCAAGGAAGCAAGGAAGCAAGGGAAGCAAGGGAAGCAAGGGAAGCAAGGAAGCAAGCAGAAGCAAGGGAAGCAAGGGCAAGCAAGGGAAGCAAGGGAAGCAAGGGAAGCAAGGAAGCAAGCAAGGGAAGCAAGGGAAGCAAGGGAAGCAAGGGCAAGCAAGGGAAGCAAGGGCAAGGGAAGCAAGGGAAGCAAGGGCAAGGAAGCAAGGAAGCAAGCAAGGAAGCAAGGAAGCAAGGAAGCAAGGAAGCAAGGAAGCAAGGAAGCAAGGAAGCAAGGAAGCAAGGACAAGCAAGGGAAGCAAGGAAGCAAGCAAGGAAGCAAGGAAGCAAGGAAGCAAGGAAGCAAGGAAGCAAGGAAGCAAGGGAAAGCAAGGAAGCAAGGAAGCAAGGAAGCAAGCAAGGAAGCAAGGAAGCAAGGAAGCAAGGAAGCAAGGAAGCAAGGAAGCAAGGAAGCAAGGAAGCAAGGAAGCAAGGAAGCAAGGAAGCAAGGAAGCAAGGAAGCAAGGAAGCAAGGAAGCAAGGAAGCAAGGAAGCAAGGAAGCAAGGAAGCAAGGAAGCAAGGAAGCAAGGAAGCAAGGAAGCAAGGAAGCAAGGAAGCAAGGAAGCAAGGAAGCAAGGAAGCAAGGAAGCAAGGAAGCAAGGGAAGCAAGGGAAGCAAGGGAAGCAAGGGAAGCAAGGGAAGCAAGGGAAGCAAGGGAAGCAAAGGAAGCAAAGGAAGCAAAGGAAGCAAAGGAAGCAAAGGAAGCAAAGGAAGCAAAGGAAGCAAAGGAATCAAAAGACAAAGGAAGCAAAGGAAGCAAAGGAAGCAAAAGACGCAAAGGAAGCAAAGGAAGCAAAAAAAGGAAGGAAGGAAGGAAGGAAGGAAGGAAGGAAGGAAGGAAGGAGGGTGCTGCAGAGTTGCGCAGGGTGCTGTTGCAGGGTGCCATGCCAGAATCATCATTACTTCGAAACATCCTGCATGGGGGGGGGGGTGCCGCAGTTGCGCCGATGGATGCACCTAAGGGAGAAGCGCGCCCTTCGCCGAATTATGGGGGTGCATGCCAGGCACTTAAACTGCTGCGTTGCCATTTCAGTGAAGTGTAGTTAGGAGGAGCGTGATGATCCGAAGAGTCCTGGCTGACACCAGCTGTGAAGGCGCTAGGGTCTGGCGTGTGCTAACTGTAAGTCAGAGGTTTGGCCGTATGTTGGGCCCTACAAGTTCAGCCTGAGCGGATTCTTGAAGCTTGCTTGGCCTGAGCAGAAGCCCAAGTGCGTTTGCGCTTGCGTTCGCACATGCCTGTGCGTGGCATCCGCGTTTCTCCCGAGCGGGATCCTGAAAGTTTTAAAGTTTGCCCGCCAAGGCCCCCGCTGCGGAAGTGCACTTCGCGTGCTAGACTTGTGTGCTACAAAGTTGGGATTTTCGATCTGGAGCTGCGGAAGTGTACTTCTCGTAGCTAGACTTGTGCTACAAAGTTGCGATTTTCGAGCCGGAGCTGCCAAAGTTCGAAAACACTGTAACACAATAAAAACGTTCAACAAAGTACTAGGGCCACGTAAAGCATCACCTATCCACGCAAGCTCCATGTAAGCCAGTCCACCGCACACCCTTCCTCCATCATAGGCTTACTGGGTTCTGCAAGTTTCCACGCTTAGTGAGAATTTGACACGTGTGCTTCCATGAACATTCGAGAAAGCGTATGTAGCCCTTTGATGTTCTGTTCGCCTGTTCGCCTGCCCAAAGCCAGAGAGCCCCATGTGCTAACTGTTGACCGCTGTTTTGGGTTTCAGGGTGTGGCAGGTGTGTGCTAACTGTTCAGGGGTGACGGGGGCATTCTGGCCAACACAGTAATGTGCTATCTGCCTATATCTGCCTAGGTTTTGAGCCCGACCTGCCAAAGTGTACTTCCTTTACTGCATGTGTACTGGAAAGTTGCGATTTTCGAGCCGGAGCCGCCAAAATGTACTTCCTTGTGCTGGAAAGTTGCGACTTTTGAGCCCGACCTGCTTCCTTTACTGCATTTGTACTGGAAAGTTGCGATTTTCGAGCCGGAGCCGCCAAAATGTACTTCCTTGTGCTGGAAAGTTGCGACTTTTGAGCCCGACCTGCCAAAGTGTACTTCCTTTACTGCATTTGTACTGGAAAGTTGCGATTCGATTTTCGAGCCGGAGCCGCCAGTACTTCCTTGTGCTGGAAAGTTGCGACTTTTGAGCCCGACCTGCCAAAGTGTACTTCCTCTACTTTACTTGTACTGGAAAGTTGCGATTTTCGAGCCGGAGCCGCCAACATGCACTTCCTTTACTACGCTTGTACTGAAAAGTTGCGACTTTCGAGCTGGAGCTGCCAAAGTGTACTTCCTTCACTACACTTGTACTGAAAAGTTGCGACTTTCGAGCCGGAGCTGCCAAAGCATACTTCCTTGTACTTCCTGTACTACACTTGTACTGAAAAGTTGAGACGTCCGGGCTGGAGCTGCCAATGCGTACTTCCTGTACTACAGTTGTGCTGAAAAGTTACGGCTTTCGAGCCGGAGCTGCCAAAGTGTACTTCCTTTTCTACACTTGTACTGAACAGTTGCGAATGGTGAGTTTGGTGGGTTCCGTGTTGCTCTGTAGGACATCCTTGTCTCACCTCCTGAGTTCATGGATTTTAGTGACTTTTGGGGTTGGACCATTTTTCGTCGTCAACAAAACAGTTTGGGCATTTGTTTTGGCCGATCCACTGAGTAGCTGGGGAACCAAATTCGATCCAAAAGCTGGGCGGGTTTGGTGGGTTCCATTTTTGTCTGTAGGTTTTATTTGCCCCTGAATATCAGTGGGCACCTTTTTCGTTGCCTGAGTCGAGACCCTCTTGGACGCAACGGGAGACAGAGCGATTCCTGAGTTCATGGCCTTCACTCACTTCTGGTTCGGTGGTGCTTCTTGCCTGTTCGAGTTCTCCTGGCATTTCTGGGCGTATCAGTGGGTTGCCTGATTCAAGACCCTCTGGATGCAAGAGAGAGAGAGAGAGAGAAAAGAAACCTCCTAGTCCTGTGATTCTGGTTGCGTCCCTGACTCCATGAGGAGTTTTGTTTGTTTTCGGCCGAGGCAACGAGGAGGGGGCCGTCACCTGGGAGGAGTTCGCCCGGATGGCCTGCAACATGGCGCGCGGGAGGGGGGGGGGGGGGGGCGGTGGGGGGGGGTCCCCTAGGCGGAAGCCTCGTTTTGTTATTTTGTTTTCCCCCCCGAGGGCTTAAAGGGACGCCAAAGGCTCATGAGAGGTTGTTTAGTTGTCATTTGTTTGGTTGATGCAGAGGCTGTCTGCTCCCAGCCATTCTAGGTTCCTTTGCTTTTTGGAGCTTGTTAGTTGGTTTTGCTCAGGTTTCCGTTAAACATGTAGCAGGGGACAGCCCAGCAGTTAGGAACTACCCAACCGGTCGCAGACCCTCAGGCCCACACCGGTCCGATGTGAGATTTCTGGGCTTCGTTTTGGATGGCTTCAAGGGTAGCAGTGATTTTGTTACTCCCTATGCTCAGCAGAGAAGGGGCCGTTCATTTTGATCTCCAGCTCATCGGTGTTGTTCTTCATTTTAAGTGGGTTGTTCAGAATTTGAGAGCCGCCACAAGAGACCCTTTTGAAAAGTGGAGAAACTGACAAGACTACTTCCATTTGCTTAAGAATATGTGTTATGCTCGCTTGTCAGATTTAAAGTGAACCTATCACTACCGGACTTGTTTTTCCAAGGAACTTCAGCAAATGCAAGACTACGTTCACTACTTTCACTCTTTCTCATCACAGATCAGGGACAGACCGGCGTCCCTATGCTTCCCAGACATCGCCAGGCAAACAAACTCTTGAAAGTGGCAAGCAAAAGGCGATGTGGCTCTGGGTCAAAACCTTGTACCCCTGGTGAACATCAAAATAGGTGGTACATGGGTGTTCATCCGCCCCAAGATGGCTCGGCATAGGTTATGACCCATGGCCATGTTTCAAACCAGGGAAGCATACTTGGGTGTTCGGCCAAGTTAGGAACTTTTGAGTCCCCCAAATGAGGGTTGCATAACCTTGCTGTATTAGGCGTTAGTAGTAAGGGCCTTGTGTCCCAAGCTAGATAACCCCAGTTGCCGAGCGGCGCCCTTTCTGCATTTTTGGGGAAAGGTTCGCTTTAAACTCAACCAACCAAGAAAGGATGCCCTTTTTTCCCATGGCCACTGGGCATCTGAGTAACAACTTACTAGGGAGCAATGTAAAAGACGCGTCTTTTCGTCTCTCTCGCCAGGTGTTGGCAATGAAAGGCCTGCCTCCTGAGCAGAAGGAAGAGCGCGGCCTGTCACTGAAGCACAAGCTGCTCAACCGCAGAAAGCAATTCTTCTGAGGCTTAGATTTGACCAGATTTGCGGGGAACCACTATAAAGGCCTGAATTGTTACCCACATGGTCGTGAAACGCTTCCAAATCCCAATTAAGTCACGATCACCGGAGAATCCATGCAATTCTTTAGCCTCCACCCAGTTCGATGGCACACGCGACAAGGGTAGGTTCTCACTCACCGTCAACCCCAACTGTTTGAAGAGGATCCGTGATGTTTCTTTTTCGGGGAAAGCGCGAAGGTATCCCAGATGCGCCGTCTACGGTTGAAAATGCATGGTGAGTGCAGACTGCAAAGTTACCCTTTTCAGGGCAAGGGGATGATAACACTTTGGCACCGGGGGAAAAAGGGGGGGCGGTTGGGGGTTGGGGGATTGTGCTATCTACCTGCGCCCAACTGCAACTTGCAGGCCTCGCTATGGGCCGCTACATCCACTTTTGACTCATTGATTCATCTCGGATCCCATGAACAAAGTGCCAGAGCTTGCTTTGCAAAGCCTGCAACCTTTGTATATGTGAGAGCCAACAAGCTCTCAACATTGTAGTTTCCCTTGTCCTTTTACCACACGACATACATATCTCAAAGGGCTGGCTTACCGGACACTCTACAGGAAGACCGCTGATCGCTGTTTTGCAGCCATTCCCTGCGGATTCTTTTTGCTGTACCCCCACACCTTGGAGCATTGAGAGGTACAACCCGGACCTGGAGACGAAAGACAGCGGCCAGCTCACGGTGAACGAGAAAGCGGTGGTGGGTGCGGAACATCGCCTGCTGCGGGTGGACGCTCAGCAAGCCCGATGAGCTGTGTACTGGGGGACTTGTAGGTCCCTCAGTGCCCTTTCTCACCCGTTTCTTTTTTGGGGGAAGGTTCCCCAAGTAAAATGGACGATTCAGAAAAAGTTGGTACCCTTACTCTACTGGAGGACCTAGTGTTTGTTCTACTGTGGGTGGGGACGAAATCCGTTTTCATTAAACACCACCTTTCAGAATCCCTACCAACGAGCAATGGATTCAACCATGGTTTCAAAATGATGCGCGATTCCGTCCATCCGCAGTATTAATATTTACAAATGGCTTGGTTGGTGTATTGTGGGTTCTTTGTATCGTTTGGTGTTGGTGCTACATTCTTTGAGGAACAAGTTTTCATGCTGAATCTGACATGTCCCGACGCATGTTTGGGAAAGCGGGGGCGAGTGCTCGCTTTGCCAGGCACGAGGTTGGAGGTGCGAGTTTTCTGGGGGTTCGCATGATTTGTACGTTGCGCCCTTCACACAAAAACCCCAGTTTGCCGATTTAATCTAAGTAGGTGCATTGCTTAAAAGCCTCGAGGCGGGCCTAGCTTGGTGATGTCCACCCATTAATCAAGCTGTCAGGCCGGCTCGACTGGACCAAATCAAGCAGCTTCATTGCAGGTCAACGTATATCCCATCAGTGACAGGATTTTGGTGCATCAGAGGTTGCGGAGACCAGCAATCTTGAGACTGTCTCTGTTGATGTGATTTCGAACGCCTTGCCGTTGGGCACTTTCAGGTTCGGGCTCGTCGCTAAAGACTTGAGGTGTGGTTCGTCGCCTTGACCCAGCCGGACGTGATTTGCTTCCAGGCCCGGGCCAAGCGGTCAGAACTTGGATGTTAGGACTGTATTTGTTTTGCCAACTAATGTGATTTTTTTTCAGAAATATATATATATATATAAATAAATAAACCACTAAAAGTTAAACTTTTAGCAGGGGAGCAGAAAGCAACCAAGGTTTGATTGTCACACAAATCAAATTTGATGAAATTCAGGTGAACAGGTTTGTACGTCATGGAAACGTACTAGGATCAAGGAGGGCCGATTCCCAGTCAATCGACCCCCGTTCACCGGAAGCATCTCGAATGTGCTTCATGTAGATCCTACTTGCCTTGGTCTCAAAGCTTCAGCAAGTTCCACATTTTTGGCCAAGGGGGAAAGGAGTCAGAGCGGCTTCTGGCGATCACTCTGGTGACTGGCTTTAGGGCAGGCTTCTACAAGACTGCATTGGTTAGCTGATTGGGCGGGGCGGACTTTTCCCATCGCCTCACTGCATGGACCCTTTTAGTGAAGTTCGTTGAGAACAAGACTGTGCAGCTAAACCTGGTCAGTATTGCTTTCTTCCCTAAGTGAACTCGCATCAGTGAGGACCCGGGGAATGCCAAAGTCAACCGGCAAAAAGCGACAAAGCGACGGCTCCACTTTGATGACCGAAAGGCTTGTGGTGCGACTCATGTTGTCTCCCGCCGTTGACATAGAGATTTGTAGGGAGCAATGTGTGATCATGCATTCTTGGTGTGAAGTAATGCGACTTGAGATCAGACCTTGCATTGGGAAACGCATGATTATCGGCGACCTTGGAGACTGGGTACAATGAAGCGGCGAATGTTAAGAGGCATTCCATTTGCAACCGTCCGGTGCTGCGGTTTTTCAGTGTTCCCTATGACAGGCGTCCATTGAATATCGGTATTCGGTTTCTTTAAGTGCGAAGCATCTACACTTTGTTGGATTTTGCCAAGGGATGTTAGGACTTTGACTTTTTGCCAACGAATGGGTTTTCCGACTTAAACCAACAGTTATTCACTTTTAGCAGGGCTTCGCAGATTTCGCAACCGAGTACAAGCGCCCCGCGGCGAGCGGCGAGCAAAGGCCCAAAAACCTCTGAAGGTTTCGGGGCGAGGATACATCATGACTGCTATTGGGCAACGGATCTTTAGACTTTAACTTTTGGTTGAAATCAAGTTGGGTTTTCAACACTAAACCACCAAAAAGTTAAAGCGCAAATTGCAGGGAGGTCAGCTGCAACCAAGAAATCATAAGAAATCACATGTTTGGATAGTTGTTGCTGGTACCCCGCGCCAAAAGGCAGCCCCTGTGATTGTTGGCAGGTTGTTTCCTCTTGTGCATCATGCTGAAGCATCAGCAGATTTCCAGGGGTTGATTCCTCATTCGTTTCAACCATCGTTCTCTTCAAAAACCATCCATTTTCTCGGGTTTCCGGAGGTTTTTTCTAGAAATTCGGGAAATCATGACAATGAGAAAGGTCACCCTACAAGATTGCCTTAAGCTCCGTTTGGACCAGCGATCGCCCCCCAATCGATTTGCTCCTTGCGATTCGCTTTCCCTCGAGGAGCTGGACAACTTTGCATTCGTCTCGGAGGACTGGGTCCGAACTCGTGCGAAGGCCATAGCTAGAACTGGGTCATGTTCCAAACTTCCGTGTCATGTTTTGCTGGGGGGCGGGGACTGACAAAATATGAAACAGACACTGAACATGTTTTTTGGAGTAATTACCCCGTTTGGTGGGCCAAGATATGACCAAGGGTTGACTCTTCAGCTTTCAAACCTCAGCATCATGTACGAGGGTCACGGTTCACTCGGCCCTCCACAGCCCTTTTGGTGTGTTTTTGTTTGGGGACAGTGATTTTTTTGAAAGACCTTCCAGCGGCCTTTGGCGATGGATTTCATAGGGAAGCCCCTGAAGAGTGGTTCATAGCTGATTTTGCACAGGATGGCTTGATGAGGTGCTCCTTACCTTGGCAATGACTAGAGAAGTATGGTAACCTGAAAAGTGGTTGGTGGCGATGTCTCCTCACCTAGATGTCCAGCAGCGCCCCGCATGTGAGAAGCCGGTGGCCCCTACCCCAAGCCCCACAGCAACAAGGGTCCTGTCTGGTACCGAGCATCGGCAACAAAGGTCAAAGGTTGCTATGTCTCTTTTTCTCGTCTTTTTTTGGGTGGGGGGGGGGTCGTGACATATTAGAATATATATATATATATGCTAAGACCCCCTCCCAATACCAAGGTTTTTTGTTGTATTTGACTTGTGGGGCAAATGATGGATGCTTTGCAGGGCAGATGTAGAGGTGACTTCCAGCAACCAATTGGACAGTTCATGAACTCATTGCTGTTGTTTTTGTGAATAGTACCACAGCGACATGTATGTTTGTAACATATACAAGTGGTGGCCACGTTTGGCTCAAGTCACAAGTTCTCCAACCCAGCCTATGCGTTGCTGCGATTCGTATTCCGAACTCTTGCACCAGCGTTGCAGGACAGCACAACCATTCCTGTTGGGACACAAAGCTGTTTCCCTGCGATTCTCACTTCATATCTACTCTGCACTTCCTCTTTCTCCACATGACTGAAAGCGCTGCAACATAAGGTGTTGTTGATGATTTGTCACCTTCTTTACGGTAGCAGGTGTTTCGTCTTTAGAGGATTGAAAAAGGCAATAAGTCCAAGACGGCTTGTGTTCGGCTTCAAGCATGGTTTTGATTGGAAACTTTGATGTTTACACTGGTTTCGAGCACACGTAGTAAAGCAACACAATCTGTGTTTTGCAGCTTGAGCCCCATAAAATGCCAGTCAGGAACCTGAGGCCATCGGTAGGGGGGCTGATGACCGTACCAATCATTTGGCCATACATTGCGCACCAAGCAACACCCCCAAATCCATGTCCAATTGATTCTCAAATGGTTGCTATACCAAGTATGTTGACCCAACCTCATTTGAGAACGTTTGGTGAAATCCTGCCTTCATGGTTGTGTGAACCAAACCAACATTTCTGAAATGCCAAAGTGGGCCACCCGCTTCGTCACATTTTACTGGGGTTTGAACCTGGGCCTACGCCCCTTCTCAGCCCAAAAAACAGAACCTGAAGAAGATGAAAGCTCTGAAACTTGCACAGGTCCAAAAAGAACAAAACAGACAGAAAATCCGGACAAACAAGAATAATGAATAGCAATGCAACACCTTGTCCTTACTGGATTGTACTTAACATTTCAATTGACATCGAATTAAAGCAATGTTTGCAAGGAGCTCATTTTCAAACTCTATTTTAAACCTAAGTTCTGGTTGGACTGGTTTCGTCATGAAAACAAATACCACAGTTGTTTAAGCCACATTTAATCTAAATACATTTGGGAATGAGCTCCTATTTGAAATGATGTTCAGAGGCCAATTGAACAATTGCCTTTAACTCCGATTTGGAAAGGGATTCTTATTTAAATTCTAATGGAATATATATATTTTCACATGAACTATGGCCTTACTAAATTCCAGTCAAAATGTCAATTCAATTTGAAGTAACATCTTATTTGCAAAGGAATTCACATTTGATATTTCGGAGGTTCAAATCTCCTGAATCTAGATTGATCTGCTCAGGATCCGCTTTCACGCTCTCGAGATACCAGTCCATTGTGGTTATTAGCACGGGAATGGGATAGACTTGAATTTGCCCGAGCCAGTAGCTGTTCATTAAACAGATTGAAATTGTGCATTGAAATGGTCTCAATTCGTGTAGGCTCAGCATTCCCCGCAAATTTAGTTTATAAACTTCCAAGTCTGGTTAATAAACTCTAAACTCTTGGACTCCTGGCAGTTGGATGAGGGGGAGGGGGGGGGGGTCCTGCCTGGCAACTCTTGAAGGGGAGGGAGGAGGGGGGGGGGGGGGGGGGCAACTCTTGAAGGGGGGGGGGGAAGAGTCTAGCAACCACCCCCTCAAGAAGTTACCCCCCCCCCCTCCCCCCCCCCCTCAAGAGTTGCCGGAACCCCCCCCCCCCCCCCTCCCACCCCAATCCAACGATCAAGAGTTTATAAACCAGACTTGGACGTTTATAAACTCCAACACTGAATTATAAATCAGTCAGTTATGTGATCTATACTCATCCAATGACACATAACGATGATCAAGCACTTGTAGTAAGACATGTGTTCTGATCTTTAGCAGGACCCCAACTCAACTCCAGGTTTTCCTCAAACAAGCGACTTTCTATACAAAAAAAACATGCAACATGTACATTTTAAAGCAGGAAAACCTTGGTATTGGGGGGGGTCCTACCATATATATATATATGCATATTTGTATATATATATAACATTATATAACTATTGATAAAATATAAACATCACCTTGTTTTGTATGAAGTTCCAGACGTCCAAATCTTTTCGCTTACGGGCCTCTTGTTCTTCGGTGCCCTCGTTTTCGTGCGCGCGGGCCCGCGCCTAGGAGCTTGCGAAGCTGGGCTACGCCTGCAGCACGGCCCAGGCGGCGCCCTACGTCCCGCTGAAGGGGCGGCAGGGCGAGAGCTACCGCCGCCCGGCCGAGAAGCCGAAGAAGCGACGAAGCGAATTCCGAACTCGAAGCGAAGTCCCAACGAAGCCGGGCGCTTTTAAACTTCGCCCGTGCGCCAAGGCGAAGGTGTCCTGAGTGCAATTGGACTTTAGTAGTGACTCTTGGGGTTGGACGTCCTGCATGCCCCTTCGATAAGGGGTGGGGGGATGTGTAGTTCTGGGGGGGGGGGGGGGTTCGAAGTTTGAACAACAAGTGGGGGGGGGAGTTGTTGTGTGGTGCTTGGACTTGGACTTTCGTCACATTTGGGGTTGGACCATTCTAGTGGCCAACAAAAGGGTAGGACAAAGCACGGGCGCTCGCTTTGGCGAGTTTCTTTTTTTTCTTCTGCAGGTATCATAAGAAATGAAAAAGCCGTGAAGCGTTTCTGGCCCTTAAGTAAGTGGCTGAGCTCCCATACATGGAAATCGTGGAAATGCCCTTAATCAGTGGGGGCCGGTTTGGGGTGGGTTTGGGGTTGGGTTTCCTCGCTTCTCTGATGCCTGGGCACTTGACATTGATGTCTTCCACAACTCATCCTCACTCCCTTGATGGAATTGGGGGAGCGGGCTGACCCCGAGCATGTCAATGAATTGTTGCATTTTCCCCACATCGAAGACCATATAAATGGAACCAGGGGACCCCTCGCGCTCTTCCCCTGAAGGTAGGGGGATCACAACTCTACAGAGAGCTAATGTCAACATGGGGCGAATGACCGACAGCAAAGTTATTTGCTACTTGCTAATTGGTCTTATGAACCTGGCAATTCTAAATCATCCTCCCTCCAGTGTGCAAGCTGATAGAAGGGTCCTGGAAAGCTAGCATGGTGGACCCAACTGTCAACCAGCTGCTCCGTAGCAGTTTTAAAGGCAGGAGCTGGTGGGCGACGTTGACAACGCTGCAATCGAAGCTGGGTGATCGTGCCTAGTTGCTATGGCCCCTTGCGGGCACTGCCGAAACGTGAGCCCCGAACTCGTCTTGCACAGTGTTTGCTTCAGTACTTTGTCATACCATGTGCGGGCTTGTCCGCGACTCTTTGCGCGCTGCTGCGTCGTAGTTTTTGGGGTGATGATGCAAAGGGGGACATCTCCAGAGCCCTGATTTGGAATACTTCAAGGCGGAAGTACTACCCAAGTCCCTCCCGAAATCTTCGGACCTGGCTCTGAGGGCTTTTGGGTTCAGTGGTTCCCTGGCCTTTTTCTGGAAGGGGGCTTCCATTTAAAGCTAAGCAGGGGCAGCTGGGGTCTCTATTCTGACAATTTCTGGTGGCATCAGAAATCAGAAGCTGGGCTGGCTTGCCTTTAAACCTACCCCTTTATACTGGTAGAAGAATGGGACCAGTCAAGTCACAAGTCCAAGTCGCCTTTTTCGGTGGGAATCTGAGGGGAGAAGCTGGACTCCGACTGGAGCTTCGCACCCAAGTGGGGCATCAAGAAAGGCAAGTCCACCGCCCGGTTCTTCCTTGAGAAGAGGGGCCAAAAAGCGCGCCTCGGGCTAACATTTTTGTCGGCGACGCGTGGCGACGACAAGACAGGGTTGCCATGTCCACCCATTTAAATCTAAGATGGAATTGGAGCACGCGCTCGATCTTTGCCCCTTGCGGCCTTAAGTTTTAAGGTAGGGGGAATCAGGGTTGAACCTGTGTGTCCACTTCGCTTAAAGACAATGGCTCGATAGAACCGTGGTGCGCCTTGAGTTTCCCACCCTGTTCCTGCGACGCACGTAGACAGAAGCCAAGACACCCACAGTTGAAGGCCCATTTGCATCGAAAGGGGGGAATTGCGCTGGCTGTTGTGCAGTGTGCAGAATTGAACCAAAGCACATACTGGCTCCACTATCATCAGAAAATCTGAAGCTGCGCTAAAGATCTCGGGAAGAATTAAGCCGATTGGCAATACAATCATTCGAAAACGGTGGAGTTTCTGCGCATAGGTGTCCTTTTTGGTTGTTTTGAAAAAAAGCTGGCCCTGGCTTACCTGGTGGTTTAACCATCTACCAGGGCCATCTATTTCCCCTCAAAGGACACCTATGTTTCTGCAGCGATTGCCACCTGTTGCGGTTCTTCGATGCGCTGTCCACCTCGCGCTGCGACACAAGACGCCCAGAGATCGAAACGAGATGTTTCTCAGCAGCTTTGGGGGCCGATGTTGGGCACGTGTGCACTTGGCCAGCATGCGTCAAAGCGGGCTCAAATTTTATTTGGCTACACGGCGATTCCCTTTCAAAGCCGTTTGGATATGATCCCCGAACTTTGCCCCACAGCTACATGCCTGGAGTCTCTTGGTCCTTCTAGGGCCTTAGGGCAGCTAGGACAAGACTCTCGGAAGGGACCCCTGCGTTCCATTGCACTCCATTGCACCCCCTGGGCCTGTGAGATGACTTGGAAGGGTGCCGACATTTTGTCACACGCATTCTCATATGCGTGGTTTTGGCAGATATGTCTATTGTCATCCAGAAATAAGGTAGGCTCCCGCGTGGAGCAATGCAAGTGTCGCCAGAATCGACATTGTTGGATACTTCCATTCACACCATTATCATGCCCCCTGCAAGTTTACCCCATGCATTCCCACAAGGGCTGAGCCTCTACTGTAAGTGGCACATGTCCAAAAAGGGCCAGATGGCAAGTCACGGTTCGCAACACAAAGATGTCTTGCTCAGGTGGCACTTGCATGTCCTTTGACCGACCAGCCAGAAAAGCCAGCCAGTGGGCACCGTGTTCGTTGCCTTGCTGAGTCAAGACCCTCTGGACACAACAGCGGAGAGAGAGAAAGCCGAAGCTCGCCTCAGGCAATTCAACGGCAAGAGCTGGGAGATTGACGACGACGGCCAGGCGATCTTTTGGCGAGCTGACCGCTTCGAGCTTGTGGGGAAGCCTGCGTCTTGTCGCAGTGCTTCGCGAAGCGCAGTTTCGCTCGGCAGCTTTGTTTGGCCAGTGCCTACGTTCACCTTGGTTGGAAACATCGAATCTGTTTGGCATTTGATTTTTTGAAGTTCCTTGGGGGTGAACACTTTTCAGGTGAACTACAGGGAATCCGTGAACGTAGGGCGCCGAACGTACGTTTTGATACACCGGCTCGTGCAGGTGGTGCCTCCCTTACCCGCACATGAAGCTATGCCATGGTCAGAGATGACCTTTTTCAGTTAGAAGTTGGTAGGTTTAGCATTGCTTGGTTGCCCAGACATAATTTTGGTTTGGCATTATTTACCCCGTGTTGATTCTTGGGAGTGCCCCTTTCAAAGGAAACCGCCACCTTTGGAGGGGAACACCCCCTATCAATCCACTAGGCGGGGTCGGCAGGCACATGTCAGGAGCCCAAGGGGCAATCCATCCGGGTGATTCAGCAGGGATCATGAAGACAGGTGGACAAGTCCCCAAGCCTTGCCGCCTTTCACGCTACGGAAACACATGGGGGAGTGCGAAGTTCTGCAATTCAATCCTCTCTGCATGTGGGGGCAACAGGAATTTGTGGTCTAGACGCGATCGTGTTGCATTCGGTGTTGTTTTTGTTGGGGTTGGGGGCGGGGGGGAGCAAGAAGGCCAGCTACTGCCTGACCCGAGGAATTTGCAGTTCTTCCGGGCGACAAGGACATCAACGACTTCGTTGATGGAAACACCGATGACTTAGGACACATGCCACTGCACCATGATAGATGACCAGGGTTGAAAACCGGCTTGCCGACGATTGAGCAGGGGGTGATCAGAACAGAACGACTCTGCATCGGGAAAGCATGTGCTGGAGCACGTGTGTTGTGTGAGCGCAGTGGCATTGGCGATCGTATGATGTTGGTACAAGCAGCTCAGATATTCTTGTTTGCTTTGCTTCTTCTTTTTTTTCTCTCCGAAATCCGAGAGCCCTTCATTTCAGATGGGTGCCTGACGTTTCCCCCCCCCCCCCCGAAATGCAAGAGTCCCACCCATCTGACTTTCCCTCCCCCCCCCCCCCCCGAAATCGGAGAGCCCCTTCGTTTCAGATGGGTGCCTGACGGAAACCGGCAGGATGCACGCAGAGCGACCAGGCCGCAGTGCGGGTGTTGCTCCAATTCAAAGACCTGGATGAGCGGCTGAGACGGCAGCGGCCTGGCAGAGCCATAAATTTTGTCCAACGTGGTGCGACCTGGGCCCAGGGCTGTGTATACACTCCAGAACCTCACTTCCTGCGTTTCCGGGCTTGGAACGTTTTGGGTTTGGACCATTTTGCAGGCATGGACAAAAATCGACCAACCTTTCTGACCAATCCGCGCAGGCCGACGTGGAAGCTCACAGAGCGCCTCTGTAAATGGAACTCAGTCTTCCAGAGGGGTCACTTCCGGAGCTTCCATGTCAGTCTTCCCGCGAACCAGCACCCCCCTGCCTCAAATGGATTCTTTTCACGTCGAAAGAAGAGCCCTTCAGGGGTTGCAGCTTGGCAGCTGTCGAAGCCGCAACCTTGCTTCAGTCACACAGCAGGCCAGGACATGGCAGATACCAGCAGGCCAGCCGGTTGCTCTCCCGGTCAGAGGAATGAGAGGTCACCAACCTACCACAGAGCGAACCGCTGAAGAGCAGTGATCGCACAAACTTGGCGTACGAATGGCAACCAGTTCAGCTCTAGTTTCCGACTCGCAGAGGGATGCCCACAAGAAAGGTCTTTCAGCAAAGACAAGGAGAAATCCCGGCTTCCTGAGGCAGTTCTACGTTTGCACCACACACCTGCGCCTCAGATGCAAAAGGAATCTTGACCTCGATTGCGGTGCGCTTTGAGTGTTGAAATGACAATCGGGGCGTGTCGTTTTTGAGGGTACGCCACCCCACCCCACCCCACCCCACCCACCCACCCACCCACCCACCCACCCCCCTTCCTACCGTTCCAGGTCCAGCGGCGGGGACGCAGAGGTGCACCGCATCCAGCAGCTGTCGCACCTGAGCCGCTGGGCTCGCAGTGGCTTGCCCGAGATCTGGCCCGGGCCTCAGCGGGCAACCAGGCGCAGCCAGGGCCCACGGACAGATCCCACAGGTTCCATTTGGCCATGGTTCAAAACCTATGGTGCCGTTTTGGGGCAAGCTGCCCATCCCAATAAATACTAGTCTGTTCATTTCGGGCATGGGTAGTGGGATAACAGGGTTTTGAGCCATCCCATTCATCTAAACCTGGGGGAAATGGCAAAAGAACCTGGTGGGTGAAACCCGTCCTGGTTTGGAGAAGAATCAGCCTGGTTTTTCAGTGTAGCGGGGCAAGTCAATGGATTCAAAGATGGAACCCGGCCGCAACTCTGGCAAGTGAACGTTGCTCTTCTCTCGGGGACAGATAAGCCACACACACACACACTGGATGGATTGGAATAGTTTTCCGCCCATCCTTGGCCTCCTGACTGGAGCAAGGCAAGTCTTTCATGCAAGGTTTGCCGTGCTTTTGGACGGCCACGTGTAAGGTTGTGGTCTGCGTGCATTTGTTTGGACATTTGCAGTGTTGAGCATTTCTTCTTTCGCACAGTTTTTTGGAGCATGTCTTGATGAATGGGCCCAAACGTAATGCTGACTTTGGATTCACCTGGAGGACAAAAGACTCATTAGATCAATCCTCAAAACATGAGTGGCATTTTCGCACAAAAAGAGGGCTGGGCCTAATTAATATAATCCTTCGGATGTATCCGACGTTGATATCAAGCGCACTCCTGAGCTTGCCGACCAGCTAGTGCCACCAGGTCAATGGATGCCAACACGGAGATCGACTTCGACGACGGGGCCGCTGGGCAAGATTGGCAAACCAGCCTGTGCTGCAGATGCGCTTCCCATGGTGCAGCTTTGTTTGATATGTGTCCATGCTTCCCGCCTTAGGGCGCGTGATGCTTCCCCAGAGTCAGTTCCCGTTTTTGGCTCTTTGCTTGTTGGGCCACCCTTTGTTCTCCACTAACCAGGCAAAGATCATAGGTTTGTGTAGTTTGCAACGTGATGTATTTATCAACCATGTAAAACCCCAATGCATGAAATGTCTCACTTGTGCAGTCTCATCATCACGACTGCATATGGCTCAAGGAAAAAGCGCGCTGTGTACAGGGTTCAATTGTGACCCTTCCCGGTTGTTTAACCTGTTCTATAGGTTATCAGCCGTAAGCGGCTCTTTGTACAGAGTTGTACGCCATGGATGGCGACCCTGGACTACCCCATACCGAGGTGCGTCCCACACCTGATGAGCCCGCAGGCGATGAAGACGCCTCGCAATATGAACCGACTAGTCGAGCAAACTCCCAAGTGGCCAGGGAGCTCATCAGGAAGGGACAAGCACTGAGCAGTCAGGGCCTCGAATCACTTCGATCCCGGAGTGACCGTGGGAGGACTGGGCGGTCTGGTGCTCGATCTCCTTCACCTGTTGGATCAGACCGGCATCGGCATGGTGACATCGTCATGTACGACCCCCAGACCGATCTCGCAAGGGGAAACCCTATGCCACAGTCCATGAATCAGTTCAACCAACATGCTGCAAACGTCCACCTCGATCCTTCAATGACGATCAACCAGGACGTGACGAACTATCAGCAGATCAACGCTACCCAGAACAATGCCCAATTCAACCAGTTCGTGAATCAGGACACCGGTCCCATGGTCGCCCAGGTGGCGGAGGCAAGGCATGGTGAGATCATTGCCGGTCTCCAAAGCCAATCGGAGGCCATGAGACGCGAGATTCAGATGAATGCTGAGCAGCGTGTGAACACCATGAAGTCAGAAAGAGAAGCCGAGATGAAGTACCAAAACGCCATTAATACGATCAGCGAGCAGGAGAGACAGATCAGAGAGCTAAGGGCTATGGTCGAGCAGATGATGCAGAATCAACAGCAACCGCCTGCTCAACCTGCTCCTGCCCCTGCGCCTCCTGTTCAGCAGGCACCAGCTACCCCCTTGGCTATCCCGACAGTTCCTTTGGCTGCATCTCCACCCGGACTTTCGAATGCTTCCTCGCACAGTTGGACGAAGGTCGGGAGCGACCCCTACGGCAAAGACGGATCCGTTCCCGCCGGGGCCGTGGACGATGCTGCTACCGGAGACGGTTGGCCTTGCGATGATGGTGATGGTGGAAATGACAAGGACAAGAAAAAGAAGAAGAAGAAGAAAAAGAAGAAGGACCGTAGCCGACGCCGGCGACGAGATCCGTCATCTTCTCCCTCGTCATCTTCGTCATCAACTTCAACTGCATCGGATGAATCCTTTCGACGAAAGCTACTGAAGCACTTAGGTAATTCGAGCGATCCGACAGCGGAACGCGTTCGTGTAAAGGAGGGTGACAGAATTCAGATTCCCCGATTCCCGAAGCCCGAACAGTACCGTAATTGGAGGATCAAAGTTAGGGATGCTGTTGTTGCTACTTCCGACCAACCCGAAAAGGCATTTGAGTGGATTGAGGCAACTTGGATCCCAGGTCAAACTGTTGAAGTCCTTCGTGATTCAGGAATGTTTGTCCATCTTGATGCAAAGCTGGCATCGGCGTTGACGAATATCTTGGAGGGCGACCTCGCGCGGCAAGTCGACATTTTCAAAGAACAAGAAGCAAAGGAGAAACGCTACGCGAGGGGGCGCCAAATTCTTTTGATGGTTCACAAGCACTTCAGCACGAACATCAAACATGGTGCAATTTACGACTTTGAGGACTTGCTCTCTGTCCAGCTCATCAACGAGGACCTCAAGAACTTCATGACAAGATGGGACACGGTCATCGCTGGAATGGGCAATGAGCAAAATGAGAAGACCCTTGAAGCGCTGTTCCACCGCCAGATTCGAAAGTTTCGGCCTCTCAGTCATGATCTCAATGAGTATGAGCGGGCTGAGGAAGGGACGGAAAAGCACTCCTATAAATTCTTGATTGACGCATCGAGGAATTATTTGGAGCGCAAGAGGCTTGTTCACATGCGGGATGCTATGTCAAGCAACACAACGGGACGTGGCAGGACTCCATCGAACAACCCTGCAGTTCCTGGAATCCCCAAGGGTGTATGTGTGAAATTTCAAACTGGCCAGTGCACCTATGGTTCAGACTGCCGATTCGAACATGTTAAGGCACCGAAAGGTAAGGGGAAAGGCAAGAAGGGCGGATCTAGACCCCAGACGCCAAGGAAGTATCGTTCGCAGAGTCCCCCTGGTTCGAAGCCCCAGGTGTGCAAGTTCTTCAAAGCGAACAGATGTGAGAGAGGGAAAGATTGCCCATGGCAGCACCCCGCAACTTCCAAGGCAGCTCCAGCCCCAAAGGCCGAGAAGACCGCTAGTGGAGACACCCCCAAGACATCGCCGAGAGAGAAAAAGAAGAAGAAGAAGGGAAGCAGGCCTTCTTCTCAAGATTCGAAAGATTCAAAGGGTTCTCAGTCCCTCAAGTCTCCGCGATCGTCAAAAGGCAGCAATGCTGCGGTGTGCCTCCTCCAGGCGATGGTGTGCGCCGCGACCCTCGACTCGGTCGCCTCGCATCCTTGCTTGCCTAGTGTGACTCACGATGTTTTCCAGAGTATGCCATGTATCAAGAAGTGCGTGCAATTTTCTGATTACCCATCCATTTCGAACTATGAGACTGACGGCGAGCTTTGGCCCTACACTGCCTCGTCGAGAAGGTTTGCACACGAGTTTCCTGTTGATTATGTTCCGAAGTTCGATGAGAGAGCTGTCTCTGACGCAACTCTTATCGGCACCATGCATGAAGCTATGATGAAGGATTTGCTCAAAGGCACGAAGACTCCTTGCAAATTTCAATGCGACTCTGATTTCGGCTGTGATTCCTGCATCCCCGCAGGCCTAACGGCCGAGCCAGAGAAGCCCGTGACCTCCCCCAAAAAGGGGAAAGCTGCTGTTGCTCGTATGACAATGGATTCTTCTCACATTCCGTGGATCGCAGATACAGGAGCTTCTCAGGATTTGCTATCGGGAACCGATGCGGAGATGGGGTGTATTTACGAATCGTCTCAACCTCTGAAATTTTCCACAGCCAATGGGAATATTATCGGTACCAAGCAGGCCAGGGTCAAGATCCAACAGACCGATAGTGTTGTTCGGCCATATGTTCTTGACAAGGCTCCATCCGTGTTATCCGTGGGTATGAGATGCCTCAGGGACGGATATGATTTCGTTTGGAGAGCCCACAGCAGACCTTATTTCCGACTTCCGGATGGTTCACGTATCAAGCTCGAGGTCAAAGACAATGTTCCATTCATTCCCCCAGCAACTCAAAATGCTGTTCCAGCTTTGTCACAGAGCATTCCAAAGGTTACATCATTACCATCAGCTCCCATTGAAATTGAGGATGAAGTTCTGGTCATTGACGAGGAACCGGAAGCTGTTGAAGAGGTGCTTGTGACCAATGAGGATGATGGGGATGAATTGGGGAACGATGATTTCTTGCTTGAGGACACCATTAGCCAACCGGAAGGTGAGGTCATTGAAGAGTGCCATGACAATCCCTCCGAAGATGCGCCTAAGGTCATCGCTTCCGATTTTGTGTCAAAGCCTATTTTGAAGGACGCCCCTCGCGAACGCGGTGAAGCAGCTTTGCGTGATGAGGCGACCTCACTCCAGCACTTGATGTGTCACACTCCCAAGAACCCCTTTTGCGAGACTTGTAACAGGGCGAAGATGTACAAATATCCATCAAAACAGAAGGGAGGTTCCACTCAAGTCGAGGCCAAGAAGTTTGGTGATCACCTTACGGCGGACCATCTTATCACATCAGATGATCGTGAAATCGGCATTGATCAATCTAGAGTTGCACTTGTGGTTCGAGATGTTGCCACTGATTTCCGTTATGTTTACCCAGCAGCACGGAAAACCTCTCATCAGTGTGTGATGGCATTCAAGCACTTTGTCCGCACCGGGGAAACCGTGAACGTATTTTACAGTGATCGGGCTCCTGAACTTGTGAAAGCGGCGTATCAATTGGAATGGAAGCATGTTCAAAGTACAAACTACATTTCCAAAACTAATGCTATTGCTGAGAGGAACGTCAGGGCGATTATCGAGGGCACGAGGACCAACCTGGAACAAGCTGGTTTGCATCATTCGTATTGGCCACATGCGGCCAAACACTATTGCATGGCGCATAACATCACGGACCACCCAGATTATCATTCACCATGGAAGGTACGTTTTGGAGAAGATTTTCCCGGACCATATTTGCCCTTTGGTTGTCAAGTCAACTTTTGGACCGGCCCGAGGAATCGACCCAACAAGCCTTTGAAGTTTGAACCTACTTCCAGGGCTGGAATATTTCTGGGGTATCCCATCCATCCTGACTTTCTTTGGCGTCACGAATTTCTCGTTATTCCTTTGCGAGATTTGATGGAGAAGGACTATGATCAACCTATTGCTCCTTTGAGGGTAAATCAGATCAAATGTCCGAATGGTGAATTCTCTTTTCCAATGGTAGAACGGCACTTATTGCACATGAATGGCGTGATGCCGGGGCTTGAGTATGCTCCTGAAACGCCCGATCCAGCTGCATTGGATGCGCCGCTCTTGGAGGAGGATTTGCCGGCAGAGATGCCAGGCCAGGATGACATCGATGATCAGGAACTCGCTGAAAACCTCGGAAAGCTGATCAAAGATTCCCCCAAAAAGGGACCCGCGTCGGAAGAAATGGTCAAAGTTATCGATTTGAAGACCAGCAAGGACACCTTTGTTCCCAAAGATGGAGGTGCTCATTACGATGCGGGGGGTGTGAAAGCCCGAAGGTATTCAGGATCGAGCAAACCCGACAGTATTCCACCTTTTCTTTG